TTCTCAATTTTATTTATTTCTTCTCTGATCTTTATTATGTCCCTCCTTCTGCTGACTTTGGGCCTCATTTGTTCTTCTTTTTCCAGTTTCAATAATTGTGACATTAAATTATTCATTTGGGAATGTTCTTCCTTCTTTAGATACGCCTGGGTTGCTCTGTATGTTCCTCTTAGAAGTGTCTTTGCTGCATCCCACAGAAGTTGGGGCTTTATGCTCTTGGTGTCATTTGTCTCCATATATTGCTTGGTCTCTGTTTTAATTTGGTCATTGATCCATTGGTTATTTAGAAGCATGTTGTTAAGCCTCCATTGTTTTTGAGCCTTTCTGTTTTCTTTGTACAATTTATTTCTAGTTTTATCCCTTTGTGGTCCGAGAAATTGGTTGGTAGGATTTCAATCTTTTTGAATTTGCTGAGGCTCTTTTTGTGGCCTAGTATGTGATCTATTCTGGAAAATATTCCATGTGCACTTGAGAAGAATGTGTATCATGCTGCTTTTGGGTGTAGGGTTCTGTAGATATCTGTTAAGTCCATCTGTTCTAGTGTGTTGTTCAGTGCCTCTGTGTCCTTACTTGTTTTCTGTCTGGTGGATCTGTCCTTTGGAGTCAGTGGTCTGTTGAAGTCTCCTAGAACAAATGCATTGCATTCTATTTCCTACTTTAATTCTGTTAGTATTTGTTTCACATATGTTGGTGCTCCTGTATTGGGTGCATATATATATTTATACTGGTTATATCCTCTTACTGGGCTGACCCCTTTATCATTATGTAATGTCCTTCTTTATCTCTTGTTACTTTCTTTGTTTTGAAGTCTATTTTTTCTGATAGTAGTGCTACACCTGCTTTTTTCTTCATATTGTTTGCATGAAATATCTTTTTCTATCCCTTGACTTTTAGTTTGTGTATGTATTTAGGTTTGAGGTGAGTCTCTTGTAAGCAGCATATAGATGGGTCTTGCTTTTTTATCCATTCTGTTACTCTTTGTCTTTTGATTGGTGAATTTGGTCCATTTACATTTAGGGTGATTATTGAGAGATATGTACTTATTACAACTGCAGGCTTTAGATTTGTGGTTACCAAAGGTTCAAGGTTAGTTTCTTTACTATCAAACTGTCTAACATAACTCACTTATTAAGCTATTGTAAGCACAGTGTGATGATTCTTTCCCTCCCTTCTTATTTCTCCTTTTCCAATCTTTATGTGTTAGGTGTTTTTTTCTGTGTTCTTTTGTGTTTCCTTTGACTCCTTTTGTGAGTAGTAGATTTTATCTTTTTGCCTTTAGTTAGTATTTGGTTGGTCTGCTTTCCTTGTTGTGATTTTATTTTCTCTGGTGGCATCTATTTAGCCTTAGGAGTGCTTCCTTCTGGAGCAGTCCCTGTAAAATACCCTTCAGAGGTGGTTTATGGGAGACAAGTTCCCTCAACTTTTGCTTGTCTGGGAATTGTTTAATCCCTCCTTCATATTTAAATGATAATTGTGCTGGGTACAGTATTCTTGGTTCAAGGCCCTTCTGTTTCATTACATTAAATATATCATGCCATTCTCTTCTGGCCTGTAAGGTTTCTGTTGAGAACTCTGATGATAGCCTGATGGGTTTTCCTTTGTAGGTGACCTTTTTTCTCTCTCTGGCTACCTTTAATACTCTGTCCTTGTCTTTTATCTTTTCCATTTTAATTATTATATGTCTTGGTGTTGTCCTCCTTGGGTCCTTTATGCTGGGAGTTCTGTACACCTCCATTGTCTGAGAGACTATTTCCTCCCCCAGTTTGGGGAAGTTTTCAGCTATTATTTTTCAAAGACTTTCTATCCCTTTTTCTCTCTTTTCTTCTTCTGGTACCTTTTTAATGTGAATATTGTTCTGTTTGGATTGGTCACAGAGTTCTCTTAATATTCTTTCATTCCTGGAGATCCTTTTATCTCTCTCTGCATCAGCTTCTCTGTGCTCCTGTTCTCTGATATATCTATTCCATTAAAGGCCTCTTGCACCTCATCCAGTCTGCTTTTAAGTCCTTCCAAAGATTGTTTTATTTCTGTATTCTCTCTCTGTACTTGCTCCTTTAGCTGTTGCATATTTCTCTGAAGATCCATCAGCATGTTTATGACGTTTATTTTCATTTATTTTTCAGGGAGATAGGTTAAATCTATCTCCCCAGGCCCTCTCTTGTTGGTTGTCTGGGTAATTATGGACTGGACCAAATACTTCTGCCTTTTCATGGTGATAAAGGTTGCTGTAGGCAGGTAGTACGTGTGTCAGCTGGGAAACCAAAGTCCTTTCCTGCTTGCTGGTCACCTTACTCTTCTCCATTGCCTGTGTCCGTTACCCACACTCCTGGAGCAGCCTCCGGGTTAATCCCCTAAGCTACTGTGGGCAGGGTCTCCGTCAGAGTAGTGCAGAGCCCTGCGGGTTTTGGCAGGTGTGCCAGGTGTGCTCTCCTGCCAAAGCAGCACCCCTGCCAGGCAACTGTGTGCTGACGGCAGCCTTTGTGTCTGGCCTGGGCAGCTGTGCGTCGGCCTGAGATTTTGGGTGGCTGCTGGTGGCGCGGCTACTTCTGGGCTACTCTTCTGCCACTGCCACTGGCTCCCACAGACTGCTCCTGGGCCCCTCTGGCGCCGCTGTCACCACTGGTTCATGTGGGCTGCTCCCGGCCCCCTCTGGTGCTGCTACTGCTGGCTCGCTCGGGCCTCTCCCGGGCCCCTCTGGCACCACCGCCACCAGTGTACGTGGCTGCTCTCCCACTACTGGGCCAGTGTGTCGGGGTCCATGCCAGTTGGCGGAACGACTGGCAGGCTGCTTGTCACCATGAGGGGCTTCAGAGCTGCGATGCCGCCCAGGTGGTTAGGTCACCTAGAGTTCCCCGGGATTCCCAGGTGCTGGGCTGAGTGTGCCAGGATGACTTTATCCAGCTGTGAGGTCCCTGTCCCTTTAAGACTTGCCAAAAGCACTAGCTTTTCTTTTGTCCCAGGGGCGCCGGTTGCAGGGACCCGCTCATAGGTTTTGTTTTTCCATTTCTCTAGTATCCAGCACACCATGCACCGTGTGTCTGCACTCCCCGTGTGGATTACTAGAGTTGTTTGTTTAGCAGTCCTGGGCTTTCACTCCCTCCCAGGTCCGACTCCTTTCTTCCTGCCGGGAGGCTGGGGTAGGGCTGTGCTCGGGTTCCACCGGGCCGTTGCTTGTATCTTACCCCTTCATGTGATGCTGAGTTCTTGCAGATGTAAATGTAGCCTGGCTGTTGTACTGTATCCACTGGTGTCTCTTTTAGGAATAGTTGTATTTGTTGTATTTTCAAAAATATATTTGTTTTTGGGAGGAGATTTCCACTGAACTACTCATGCCACCATCTTGGCTCCTCTCTCACATGCTATTTTACATACTATACATGTTACACATTTGTTCAGAACTATAGAATGTAAAATACCATGAGTGATCCCTAATGTAAACAATGAACCTTGGGTTATAATGATGTATCATTGTTGGTTTATCAGTTATAACAAATACACCACTGTGGTGAGAGATATTCATAATGGAGAAGGCTATGCCTGTGTGAGGGCAGGGAGTATATGGGAAATCTCTACCTTCTGCTCAGTTTTTCTATGAATCTAAAATTTCACTAAAAAACAAATCTGCCAAAGAATATAAGATTTTCCAGCAGATTTCCAGAAGATTTTTACTTCTCTAATGTATTTTTATAGGTAATGCCATTTCTAGTCCTTCATAGACTAGTCATTTACCTCCTATAGCTTTCTAATTTCATGTATGAAATGTTATATGATATGCCACTCATATATTTTTATTTTATTCCCATAATTTTTACTTCTGTATTTCTTTCACTTCTGTACTTATACATTGGTCAAACACTAATACGGAGATCATTTTAACTGTGTTTACTTTTTTTCTCAGTTCAATATTTAGTGCATTTTATGTTCTTTTATCATCTCACGTGTAATTATTCTATTTTAGTTATAGTTAATTACTATTAAAATACAAAATTAAAATTTTATAGATGTGATAAACCAAGATATTCTAGAAATGTTTACGGTGTGATTTTGTTTTCTGGATGGAATATAAAGATAAATGGAAAAAAATATACTTTTAATTGTATTATGTTGAAAAGTATAGTAAGAATTACCTATAGACTTATATCTATTAATATTTTATCAGTATACTTATTTTCCACTCATAGTATTGCAAGCACCATTGCGATTATCCAGCACTGATTTTATATTTGAAGTCCCATTACATACTCTGGATCCTAAAAACAAGGTCACAAAAACTGAGGTATGTATAGAGAATTGATGCCATTTACAAATTTTTTTAAATTGTGTTTTTTAGTTTACTGAGTTGATTATTTTGAAGTATGTATTGTAAGGGTACTTTCAGTTTTAAAGAATTTGTTAAAAACATGCACACACCTAATATTTCTCAAAAGTAATTGTCAAAGTATATAAATACTTATAAAGCCATTTGTTTTATATATGTGTATGTTTAATAGAACTATTAAAATACTTTAAATGGAATTAAATATCCCTCTCTGCTTATACAAATGGAAACTATGATCAAAATTTATTACATATAAGTAGGAAGTGTGGTGAGAAACAATAATAAAAATTGGAATAGTCCAGGTGTACAATAAAGTGATTTCTCTGATAATCAGCTCTTTTCTCTCACTTAGATATCTCTTCCTCCATAATTATGAATCCCTCTAGAAAGAAAAAAAAGAGAGATACACATAAGAAGTAAAACTCTTGCATATATTGTAGAAATTTGTATTTGTAGTGCACCCTGATTGTCTTTTATATTGCTTTTCCTGCAACTATTTTTGAACCTCTATTGCTTTGAAGAAAACTTATATGGAGAAAATATTTAACATTCATCCTTAAAATGGAAGCAGAGTGCTATATGAAATTATAGTTAGAGAACAATAAAGGATCCCATTGAAATTAAAACACGACCATTTCAAGCATAAAATGTCAATAAGACTTTTAACTCTAATAGAACTTCAAGGATGCAAAAGACCTTTTACATCTAAAAAGGAACTTCAGTGAACTGGATTGGATTCAATTCCAGAGAAAATAATTCCTTCATAAATGTGAGATTACTTTATATCAGTGAAATTTTATTCAATTGGTCTGAATTTTCTTCAGTGTATTCAAGTTAATTGAATAAATTCAGTTTATTCAATTTTATTCAGGATGATCCAGATAATAAGTGCCTTCTCTCTTAGTTGGTGAAAGGGGTCACATTGGCCCCACAAAGAAGGAAATGTGACTCTAATATACTACTTGGAATTGCCGTGAATGATATTTACAGAGTCATAATGAAACATATAGGGAAATCTTAATGTGTTTATGGAGGAAAATTAAAATGTCATATATACCACATTATATGTGAAATGATATATGTATGATGTGTATAATGTGTATATGAAAGTTAAAGTGACAAAAGGACTGAGGATGGTAGAAGAAAAGAATGAAACTCATGTTACAGAGTGGATAATTAAAGGGAATTGTCTTAAATTGACAGAAAAAGAATTAGAGGTCTAATGCATTCCTTAAGTTATCAGGTGACTAATGGAAAAATTAAAATAATATAAATATCCAAAATTGGGAATGGGGAGAGAGGAGGAGTGGAGATTAGTGTAAATGAGCTAAATCTTGTTTTTGCCAGAGGGCAATAGAGATGATATCTGAGTATGACAAATCATTAAATAATTTGGTAGTCAGAGTAATGGCCCAAAGTTGTCCAATTCCTGATGCCCAAGATTTGTGAATGTACTACCTCATATTGCACAAGAGTCTTTGCTGGTGTGTAATGTGATTAAGATTAAGGAGCCTGAGCAAGGCAAATTATCCTAGATTATCTAAATGGTCCCCGTCTAGTGACAAGAGGTTAAACACAGAGAAGCTTCCCTGACTGTGGTGATAAGAGACTGTGATGACAGAAGGGCAGAGAGATGCCATGCTTCAGATTTGAAAATGGTGGAAGGAGGCCACCAGCCAAAGAATGTGTCTGACTTCTAGAAACTAGGATTGTGGCAAGGAAACATTCTTTTTTCCCTAAAGCCTCTATAAAACATCACAGTTTCTTCTTACCGCTTGACCTTAGTGCCGTGATATCCATGTTGAACTTCTAACCTATAAGATTGTAATATAATAAATTGGTGTTGCTTTAAACTACTAAGTTTGCAGTAATTTGGAAGCAACAAAAAAACCGTAAAGCATATCAGTGTCACATGTAGAATAAGGCTATCACTGTTAGAGAAAGTGCTAATCAGGATGGGCTAAAAATCCATTGCTCTGGGAAGGTGAACTATTGATGAGAAAGACCTGAGTGGGACAACTGTTTTTTATAAGCATTTTTGAACTATTTATGTAAGCTGTGTACATGTATCTTTTGATAAAATTGTAAAGAAAAATAGTACCATACTACATACACTAAACAAACTAAACAATATTTCCCTGTAGGTGATTATATCATTTCTATTCTTAGGATAGGAAATGGAAAGTGGATAATATTAGAGGTCTCATACCATTTCCTCAATTTCAGAATGAGAAAAATGAGCTAATAAAATAGTATGATGTTATGCCCACCTTCTGTTTTAAAAGGTGTTTTCTTTATAAGGTACAAATGAACTTTATTATAGAGAACACACTTATTAAAACTGAATGTTGAAGTACTTAGAGACATTGGGACTAAAACTGACTAATTTTTATCCTAAATATTTCAAATCAATCATTCTTTTGAAAGAAATGAAGTACATTAATTTGTTGCAGTGACAACTGTATGGATCCTTCTACACTCTTCAAGTTTTTGCAGATTAAAATTAGTAAAAAAAAATGGTTGTAGGCATTGTTTTAATAGTATGTTGCACTGGAAAGATGAGTCTGCACACAAGTTATGTACATAGTTTCAAGAATTACCAGAACATTGCAAAGACAATGCAGAGAATTTCTGTATGCTATTCATACACTGTTCCTTAATGTTAGTGCCTTATGCAACCACAGAACATTTTTCAAAACTAAGAAATTTACATTAGTACAATATTATTGACTAAACAACAGACTCTATTTGGACTTCACCAGGTTTTCACTAACGTCCTTTTCCTGTCCCATGGTCTAATCCAGGGTACCATGTTTACCCTCCTCTGATATGTGACAGGGTCTCAATCTTGCTAATTTTTTATGACCTTGTAAATTTTCAAGAGTACTGGTCTGACTTTTTTTTTTAAGCATGTTCTTTAATTTTTGTTTGTCTAATGTTTTCCCCCTCACTAGACTGACTGAGTTCTTACTTCCTATGGAATTTGAGGAAGAATGTCACAAAGATGAATGTCCTTTTTGTCTCATCATGGGGAGTTAATGGTAATAACATGACTTAACACTGGTGATATATGCTAGGAAGGTTCGAAAAGTTGGAGAAACTATTTTTCCCTTTCCATATTTCTATATTGGTTGTAAACAATCAATTTCAGCCCACACTCAAGGGGTAGGAGGGTCAAGCTCCACCTTCTGGAGGGGGAATTCACATATATAATTTGGAAATTTTCTGAATGTAAGAAAGATTATTCCCTCCGTCCCTCTATTTATTTACTTAATATATCATATGCGCTCACATATATTTGTTTTTTACTTTCAGTTATAATTCAATGTCACATTATTTATTTTGTTGGTAAAATTGTTCCAGATTTGGCCATCAGGAGTGCTTTTAGACTGGCCCTTTGACATACTCCCATCATTATGATTTTTATGCATTCTCTTACTTTATGGTATTATAGAATGGTCTAAGCTTATCTTTTACTTTATTTGTACCAACTCCAGAAGCAACATGGGAGAATGGTATTTAGAAACCAATATTTGTGCACTAGGTTTGCTAGCAGCTACTGGGGTGTCACATATTCTAGGACCTTTTGTCAAATAGAATCAGGAAATATTTGTATGTATACTAACCCATGGATACACAAATTATCTGTAGTTTATCTGTGTCTCTCTAAACATGAATGCAAACTGATACCTCTGATTCTGATCTAGCAGCACAATATTCATTCCAGTCTTCCTTCCTCACTCATTTTTAATTCCTTTTTCTGACAATGAAAACCTGGCTCTCATTGACAATTTATTTGGTTATTTTTAAACCCCAGTGTACTAGTAAAGAAGTTTCAGGATTTTTAACCTGAGCCTGTGAGAATTGCCAACTTATTTGTCAACTAGAGTATAGTGTTTATCAAGAATAACTTTTTGTTGTTAGGCTCATAGTTTCTAGTTAAAACAGTTTTCCAAAGTTACTTAGGCTACTCCTCCCCATGCCCACTAACCTCCATGAGATTGTTTCACACATTTTTAGTACAGTTTGTCATAGTCTGTGATCTATCCTGGGATCCCCAACATCTTGGGTGATTGTTTCTTAATTTATAAACATCTAAGTTCACTCTTCACAGTGTACAGTTCTATGGGTTTTGAGAAATAGATGAATAATTTATCTACCACTTAAGTACATTACAGAAGTTTTATCCCCTAAAAATTTTCTGTGTAACACCTTTGCACTAAACTCCTCCTTCTACCAGTAATTGGCAATCACAGCTTTTTTTTATCCACATAATTTTGCATTTCTAGAATTAGAGATCATTTAATTATGTAATATGTAGTCATTTAGGTCTGACATCTTTCACTTAGCAGAATATATTTAATAATCATTTATGTTTTTGTATGAATTAATGGTTCACTTATCACTGAATTTTATTCCATTGTATAGATGTACCAGAGTTTTTTTTATCCAGTCATTAGTTGAAGGAAATCTTGTTTTTTCCTCCAGTGTTTGGTGATTATGACAAAGCTACTATATACATTATCACATACAGATTTTTGTGTGAACATATATCTTAAATTCACTGAAGTAAATACTTATGAATGGGACTACTGGGTCATATATGGCAGGTGTAAGTTTAGCATTATAAAAAATTGCCAAACTGTCTTCCAAAGTGACTGTTTTTCATTTTCATAAACATGAATGAAGGTTCTTGTTACTCTGCATCCTTGCTAGCTAGCATAGCTATTTTGATATTTTTATTTTACTTGTGTCTCTATCCTTTGTGTACTTTTTATAGTTGTTAATAGGCTCTGAACATATTTGCATACCCATTTGTTTGCCTAACATCACTTAAGTCATTTTATCTATGATTACCACTTTCAATCATTTGAATTTGTGCATAGGCCTATCAAGTGAGTATGATAATATAAACTAAATTTTATATTGCCTATTATAATTTTTATAAATTTATTTTTTGTGTAACAGGATCTTGTCTTACATAATACTTCCAAACGAAGTGTGCTGTGGACTGTGGATATTAGTGTAACTAGCAAACTTTTCAAAAATGGCATATTCCAGTTTAGTGCACTGAGTGGGATTCTGTCACCTCTTGAAGAGTGTACTGTTTCCATTACTTTTTGTCCAAGTAAGTACTTTTTCCCTATGTTTGTTGTTGATATTTCAATGTATCCTTCACCTATTATTTTATTTGATCGTGTATACAAAGGTTTAGATTATTTGCTGTATGTTCTTAAAATAGTTTTAAGAAGTTTTTACTACTAGAATTTTGTGGTAGCCATCCTCAAAAATGGCGCCCAATGTTTCTTACCCACTGGTGTCCATGCGCTTGGATAGTCCCCTCCCACATCAAATAGGGCTGATTCATAACCCCTGAGATACCATGCTTATGTGGTTATATGGCTGTACGGGTATGATGGTGTGTGGCTCCCAAGGCTAGATCAGAAAGGCATTGCAACATCTGGCTTATACTACTGGATTGCTTGCTTTTAGAGAAGCTAGCCAGCATGGCTATTTATATTTCCACTTCCTTTCTGGTATTTTTAAATTATAAAAATTTTATTGTATCTTTTTATAATTAGAATGATAAATTTTCTACCATTAAACATCTGGCACTTGGCTCCTGTACTGAGATTGTCTGGTTACATCTGTTAAATCATGGTCACTAATAATTTTTTTAAGTATCATTGATATACAATCTTATTTTTGTGTCAAATGTACAACACAAAGGTTCAACAGTTACCCGTATTATTAAATCCTCACCCCCCCTAATGTGGTTACTATCTATCAATGTAGAAAGATGTTACAGAATCATTGACTATATTCTCCATGCTGTATTATCATCCTTGTGACCAACTTATATTGTAATTGTGAATTATTGTGCCTGTTTATCCTCCACACCTCCCCCCACACCTGCCTCTACCTCTCCTACTTGGTAATGTCTCTTCTCAGTGTCTGTGAGTCTACTGCTATTTTTTCCTTCTGTTTTGCTTTGTTTTTATATTCCACATATAAATGAAATCATATGGTATTTGTCTTTGTCCACCTGGGTTATTTCACTGAGCATAATACCCTCTAGAGGCATCCATGGTGTTGCAAATGGTAGGATTTCTTTTCTTTTTATGGCAGAATAATATTCCATTGTGTATATGTACTACTTCTTCATTATCCATTCATGTATTGATGGATACTTAGGTTGCTTCCATATCTTGTCTATTGCAAATAATGCAGTGATAAACATAGAGGTGCATATATCTTTTCAAATCATGGGTTTTGTTTTCTTCAGGTAAATTCCCAGCAGTGGAATTACTGGGTCAAATGGTATTTCTGTTTTTAGTTTTTTGAGGAACCTCCATACTACTTACCACAACAGTTGTACCAATATACATGGCCACAAACAGAGTAAAAGGATTCCCATTTCTCCACATCCTTACGAACACTTGTTATTTTTTGTCCTTTGGATAGTGGCCATTCTAACTGGTGTGAGGTGATATCTCACTGTGGTTTTGATTTGCATTTCCCTGCTGACATCTTTTCATGTGCCTATTGGCCAGTTGTAGTTCTTCTCTGGAGAAATGTCTGTTCAGGTCCTCCGTCCGTTTTTTAATAGGGTTATTTGTTTTTGGGGTATTGATGTGTATGAGTTATTTATATATTTTGGATGTTAACCTCTTATCAGATGAGTCATTTCCATTCTCCCATACTGTAGGTTATCTTTTTGTTCTGCTGATGGTGTCCTTTGCTGTACAGAAGCTTTTTAGTTTGATGTATTCCCACTTGTTCATTTTTGCTTTAGTTTCCCTTGCTCAAGGAGATGCATTCATGAAAAAGTTGCTCATGTTTATATTCAAGAGATTTTTCCCTATGTTTTCTTCTAAGAGTTTTATGGTTTCATGACTTATGTTCAGGTCTTTGATCCATTTCAAGTTTATTTTTGTGTATAGAGGTAGACAATAACCCAGTTTCATTCTCTTACATGTAGCTGTCCAGTTTTGCCAACACCAGTGGTGAAGAGGCCGTCATTTCCCCACTGTATATCCATGGCTCCTTTGTTGTACATTAATTGGCCATGTATGTGTGGGTTTTTATCAGGGCTCTCTATTCTGTTCCATTGATCTATAGGTCTTTTCTTGTGCCAGCACCAGATTGTTTTTATTACTGTGGCTCTCTAGTAGAGCTCAAAGTCAGGGAGCATAATCATCCCAGCTTTATTCTTTCTCAGGATTGCTTTGGCTATTCACAGTCTTTTGTGGTTCCATATGAATTTTAGAACTGTTTGTTTTATTTAGTTCATTGAAAATTGCTATTGGTTTTTGATAGGAATTATATTGAATTCATAATTGCTTTGGCCAGGATGGCCATTTGGACAATATAATTCTTCCTATCCATGAGCACATGATAGATTTTCATTTATTGGTGTCTTCTTTAATTTCTTTCATGAGTGTCTTATAGTTTTCAGAGTACAGATTTTTCACCTCCTTGGTTAGGTTTATTCCTGTGTATTTTATTCTTTCTGATGCAATTGTAAATGGAGTTGTTTTCCTGATTTCTCTTTCTGCTAGTTCATCATTAGTATATAGGAATGCAACAGTTTTCTGTGTATTAATTTTGTATCCTGCAACTTTGCTGAATTCAGATATTAGTTGTAGTACTTTTGGAGTGGATTCTTTAGGGCTTTTTTTCTACAATATCATGTCATCTGCAAACAGTGACAGTTTAACTTTTTCTTTACCAATTTGGATGCCTTTTATCTCTGTGTTGTCTGATTGCCATGGGTAGGACGTCCAGTACTATGTTGTATAAAAGTGGTCATAGTGGGCATCCTCGTCTTGTTCCCCGTCTTAGAGGAAAAGCTTTTAGCTTTTCACTATTAGGTATGAAGTTGGCTGTGGGTTTATCATGTATATCCTTTATTATTGAGGTACATAACTGGTATACGCATTTTGTTGAGAGTTTTATCATGAATGGGTGTTGAATTTTGTTGAATGCTTTTTAGCATCTATGGAGATGATCATGTGGTTTTTATCCTTCCTTTTATTTATGTGGTGTATGATATTGATTGATATTGTACCATCCTTGCATCCCTGGAATAAATCCCAGTTTGTCATGATGGATGATCTTTATGATGCATTTTTGAATTCAGTTTGCTAATATTTTGTTGAGTATTTTTGCATCTAAGTTCATCAGGGACATTGGTCTGTAATTTTCTTTTGGGTGGGGTTTTTGCCTGGTTTTGGTATTAGAGTGATGCTGGCTACATAGAATGAGTCTGGAAGTATTTCCTCCTCTTCTACTTTTTGGAATACTTTAAGGAGGATGGGTATTAGCTCTTCTTTAAATGTTTGGTAAATTCAGCTGTGACCATCTGGGCCTGGAATTTTGCTTTTGGGGAGTTTTATGATTACCAATTTGATTGCAGGTATTGGTCTGTTCATATTTTCAGTTTCTTCCTGGGTCAGCCTTGGAAAGTTGTATTTTTCTAGGAACTTGTTTATTCAATGTAGTCTAATTTATTGCCATATAATTTTTCATAGTATTCTCTAATAATTCTTTGTATTTCTGTGGTATATGTTGTGATTATTCCTTTTTTGTTTCTGATTCATTTATATGTGTACATTCTCTTTTTTTCTTGATAGTTCTGGCTAGGGGTTTATCTATTTTATTTTCTCAAAGAGCCAGCTCCTGGTTTCATTGATTTTTTTCTATTGTTTTATTCTTCTCTATTTTATTTATTTCTACTCTGATCTTTATTATGTCACTTCTTCTACTAACTTTGGGCTTCATTTGTTCTTCTTTTTCTAATTTCTTTAATTGTGAGTTTAGGCTGTTCATTTGGGATTGTTCTTGTTTCTTGAGGTAGGCCTCTATTGCTATGTACTCTCTTATTAGAACTGCTTTTAATGCCTCCCATAGATTTTGGGCTGTTGAGTTTTTGTTTTCATTTGTCTCTATGTATTGCTTGATTCTTGTTTTAATTTGTTTCTTGATCTGTTGATTATTTAGAAGCATGTTGTTCAACCCCCATGTATTTGTAGGCTCTTTTTGTTTTCTTTGTGTAATTTATTTCTAGTTTCATACCATTGTGGTCTGAGAAGCTGCTTGATACAATTTCAATCTTCTTGAATTTATTGAGGCTCTTTTTGTGGCCTAGTTGGTGATCTGTTCTGGAAGACATTCCTTGTACACTTGAGAAGAATGTGTATCCAGCTTTTGGGTGGAATTTTCTGTTGATATCTGTTAAGCCCATCTGGTCTAAAGTATTGTTCAGTGCCTTCTTTGTTTTCTTATTTGCTTTCTGTCTGGTTGATCTGTCTGTTGATGTAAGTGGTGTATTAAATTCTCCTAAAATCAGTGTTTTGCAATCTATTTCCCCCTTTATTTCTGTTAGTATTTGATTTACATATTTATGTGCTTCTGTGTTGAGTGCATAGACATTTATAATACTTATATCCTGTCTTTTTTTCTTGCCCTTTTATCATTACATAATGCTCTTCTTTGTCTCTTGTTACTTTCTTTGTTTTGAAATCTATTTCATCTGATATAAGTACTGCAACTCCTGCTTTTTCTTCCTATTACTTGCATGAACTATCTTTTTCCTTCCCTTTACTTTTAATCTGTGTATGTCTTTGGGTCTGAAATGAGTCTCTTGAGGAGTCTCTTGAGCAAGACTGAAATTTGATTTTTAGGAGAGGAATTGAATTTATTGGTATTTCATATTGTAATACATATTTTGTTCACTTGTATGCAATTTCATTTCACATTTCATTTATATTTTCTTAAATTTTGTGTATTGGTCACGTTTTTATTTTACATAGTATACATCTTATTTCTCATATACATGATTATCTTTAAGCCTTTGAAAACACCTATTTTAAAATACATTTCCTATCAGTTCTAAGATAAAAACAGTATCAGTGAACTTATCCACAGATAAAATAGGAGATAAAAGATAGGAGCTTATTTCTTACTCAATTTGTTGAAATAATTAGGAATTTTATTTCCAATTAGTGTGTTTTATAAAATGTTGTCGATCATTTCATTTCTCCCATTTTTTAATCAGTGGGCTGGAGTGTTCTCCATGTCTAAGGCATTGAGGTAGTGTGAGGCAAGACTAGCAGATCAGCAGGC